AATGTCTTGATGAACACCATAAATTTGTTTAATATTTTTGAGAATTGTTTGTGATCAAATTTGTAGTTGATCTTGCATTCCTATATAATCGAAGATAAGTCACACACTTTGGTTCATTAGACATTCATTATTCGAAGAGCTTCGAAAATTTTTAATTATAAGTCTATTGAAAATATATAAAGAGAGTAACAAAGTTTCATTCAAGTTTTAAGTTATAAAAATTTTTTTGTATAAATAGTTTCCAAAAATTTCCGTGTCATATCATAGACCATATTTTTGTAATAATTTTAACGATTGCAATATGTTTAACGAAATACTCGTATATTTTAATTATTTGCTCTATTTGTTTTCTCGCTCTATTCCTGTGATATGCTTTTCATCCATATATGTAGGTCTTTTAATATTCAAATACTTTTACAACTTACAAGTGTGAATGTGTGAATATTATTTACATTAATATAATTCAAACCCTCATAACGTTTTGGGAATAATAATGAGCTTTATAACATTTTTAATTACATTTTCTAATCTTACTTGTATAGTTTTTGTTTTATACAAACTAATTTATATATATTTTTTTAAATAATTTCCTATTTGTGAGTTATATTAAAAATTGTTATACACATGTCAATTTATAGACATAATTAAATAAAATAAAAAAAAAAAAACAATATTAAGAATTTATTTAAATGTTAATAAAACATGAGAATAATTAATTATGTAGCAAGATTTCGTTAACCTAAGCATAAAACGTGTATAATATATGGATATTTAATTAAGAATAATAATAAGATCAATTCCCATTAAACCTTTGTTAAATTTTAATCGAAATTTTATAATGAACTAATATAAAATTTTGTAATTTCACTCATAATTTGCAAAAATTGTCCTATGTACTCAAATGTTTTAATATAATATTTCAAAATTAAAGTAAATTTTTCCTAGTTTTCACTCTTGATTCTATACATTATGTTCGCACTTTAATTTTTATTTCAAATTAAAAAATATACTATAAATTTTTTCTCTGTAGTCGGAAAATTTCTAAAGTTCTTGTAAATATTTCATTATTTTACTATATATATGAATGTGTTTGTAAATATTAAGTGAATACCTATATAGATAATATATATAAATATATATATATACCATATATATATATATAGTACAGCCGCAGTTTCCAAAAATAATAATTTTTTAAAAACAAATTTATGATGTTATAAAACAATAATTTATTTTTATTGCCGAATAAAAAAGCAAATTAATTAATATTATTTGACACAAACACAATTCAAGAGAAAATAACGGTAGTACTTACTTAATTTTCGTAATAATTTTATTTTGTTCTTATAAAAGTGTGACTTTCTAACCAAAAAATAATTTTTAATATTAAAATACTTATTATAATTCATAATTATTTATAAAATATTTTATTAATTATCGCGTATATTCGCGTTAATCATGACAGATAATTCACATTAAATATCATTATTCATTATTATTAAAATTTATTTTTACATAATTACACACAAGCTGTTATAATGTTTCTACATTAAAATATCCAAATTATCGCTAAATTTGATTGATTTTTATCGCTAAATTTGATTGATTCAGATAAACTTAAGTATTCTTCTATATAAAAATTGCAATTTATTGCTGTAATTATTGAAAAAATTTTTAATATACCACATTTCATTTAACCGTTTTGTAAATTTCTTAAATTGATGTTATAAATTCTAACATAGTTCAATTTTATTATATTGTACAATGTGCTATTCTAAAATGTGCTAAAGAAAGGTCAATATTGTTGTCATTGTTTCTTAATAAAAAAAATCTAATGTTGCAATAAGACAAAAATAAATACTTCACAACTCTAACAATATTGTAGGTTGCTTTTCACTTGAGATTAAAATATTTTTCTCAGTTGTTTTAATTCATTTTCATATTAAAAACAAAATTTATAAAATTCTTAAACAAATAATAATTTTCATTGAAACATTTTGTAACACATAAACATTTCAAATTGACAACATTTTGTATTTGTATGCATGTATAATCGCCGTCTGTCTAGGTGCTTAAATCATTTGTCTCTGATATTTTATAACAATCGAAGAATTTTCTTTTTTTTTATTTTATAAATAAATAAATATAATTTTCTTTCACTCTTTTAGGCCAGCCGACACATTATTTAGTCTTATTTATAGTAAATTTTTATATAAACTTGAAACAAAAGTATATTGAGTAAAAAAAAAAACTTTGCCAAATGTTGTAAATCATTTCAAAAAAAAAAGAGAAAAAAAAAATAATAAAAATTAAACAAAAATTGTTGGCAAACTTTCAAACTATTATAGTTTTCGCCTTTTTTGTTTTTAGACATTCTTTCGAACTTTTCTTCTGTTTTTTGTAAATTTCGTAATTTCTCTATATAGTCTAATTATTTTTTGTTGAGTTTGGCAAGCAAGTGTCACTTATTAAGAAATACTTCAACTAACTGTAAATTAAGTGATGATTATAAAAAAAGAGCAAACGGAAGGAATAAAGAGAAGAAAAAGGAAATTTGAAAAATTATTAAAACACTCTTACCCTTTAAAGGTCTTCCTTTTTGTCTTTGCACGGTAAAAAAAAAGAAAATAATAAAAAATTGTGCCAAAATACTTAGATGGTCTACTCAAGGGTTGTTACTATTGCATTAACATTTTTAATTTATTTGGCCGTAGGAAAGATTGATGCATAGAATCCTAATTGAGCAACAAATTTGCGTAAACGAACATTTGCAATAGTCTGTCAATACTTGGTGTTGACGTTAGCTATGAATGCCAAAGCGTCGTGACCAATCGTCAGAAATAATCGCCTTATATAGACGTTGCCAACGCAATTGAAAATCATTTTAGTTTTTTTTTTTTTTGAATTTCAGTTAAAAAATTACTTAATTGTAGATAATTGTTATTTTCAACGTAATGCACATTCATTCAGACAATTTTGTAATTTCTCAGGGAAAAATACTCAACTCTTTTATAAGAACGAACACACGAAAGTAAAAATAAAATTTTTGATTAAAGTTAGTGTTGCCCCATTATATGTCTATAATGTTAAAGTATATATTTTTTTATGAAGATTATTTAAAATTTTCTCTGGTGTCTGTTAAATGAAATAGTTTTCGTATTTGGTTATAGTTTACGTATAAAAGCTTTTACGTATCTCAGGTTGTATTTGTATAGTTTTTTATATAGTAATGACAATTTTATTGTGTCAAAGAGTTTAATGATATTTACTCCTATAAAATCTCATAAAAGTAAAGAAGCAAAAAAAAAAAAACTATTAAAAAATAATATGAATGAAAATTTTTCTATATGCTTTTTTAAGTCTGTACGCCACAAAATTTTCTATTAAAAGAAAAAGTCAATCATTAATTTTGGCACGGAATGAATAAAAGAATAATTTTTTTTTCTTGTATTCCATTTTATATACAAATATTTATTATTCATTAAAAAAAGCAAAAAAAAAAAAAAATTGACTGTGCACACGACAGTTTCTAACATTGTCGTTAGGATCTCGACTCCAATCGTTCTTCTTTGAATTTGTAATTGAAAAGGAAGATGGGTTATGTAATACTTCATAAAAAAAATAACTTTTTTATAATTTTAGATTTCGTTTTTCTTAATATAAATATTTCTTTGTAAGTGTATAAAGGCGCGTTCTTTATAGTACTTATATTCTCTGTGCTACAATAAAATATTACAATATTTATCGATTAAAAAGCAGGTTATAAGGGTGGTATTGTGACCGAAGTAAAATTTCACATATCTAATTTCCGACAGAAAGATTTCTGTTTACTTGTTTACGTTAAAAAAAAATTAAAACAATTATTTTTCTGCAGATGTCGCTCTGTTCGCTTGTGCACTCCGGTATTTCCAAATTTTTGAATGAATTACTTAAAAAAACGAACTTCTCCCGCATGAAAGAGCTCTAAAATTGAATCTCCTAAAATGAGAAGTATAGCAACGAATATTTATAGTCGCTTTCAAGCAACTCTTACGTATATCAGAATCGAAAAATTTACTATATATGCTCGAGTATATGCTGATCACATCAGATTGTTTTTTCTATTATTTTATTATGTTTGTTATTTTAATATGAAATATTGTTGAGTGTTATTATAATATTGCGATTGTCAAAATTTATAGAAATTCGTGATGAATTGACAAATACAACGAATAAAACAACATGCAAATTATAATAAATTGCCTGTATGTATGAAACATTTGTTCCTTCCTTTATTTTTTTATAACTTTTTTAAACAAGTGCTTGTTATAGTTTCAAATTGATTTCGTGCACTTTATTTAACAATATATGTAATTGTAATTGTTGTTTCTGATCGAAAAATGATGAAAAATTGTAATATGTTCTACTCAATTATAATTTGGTTCCCACTTTTAATTTCAGTCGCACAAGGTTAACCACAATTTATTAGGAAGGTCTAATAAAAATGACACAAGATTCCCTTAAAAAATTTAAAAAGTTTTTAAGGGAATTTGCTTTCAAATATAAATTTCGATTATACATCAAAACTATTCCATAATTTATACTTATAAAAGTTCATATTTAAAACACAAAATAGGAAATAATTACATTCAAGAAATGCAGGTGCACAAATCGTAAAACGCAAATTTCTTCAAAAGATTAGTGCTATTAAAATTTTCAATTTATTGTACTCGTATTTTTTAATAAATTTGTACACCAAACGTTTCATTTTCATAAAATTTTTTGCATTTTTTTAATAGAAATAACAAAAACTTAAACATTGAAGAAAAAATGGTATTCAAATCGGCACATTGGAAACAATTGAGTTAAAAAATAATTCAAACAATTTTTAATTTCTTCATGTCATTGTCAATCATTTTCATTTGAATTTTTTTTTAATTGAGTTTCAAAATATTCTTAACAAATAATTTTATAATTTTTATACAATTTTAAATTAACTTTTTTTATTTTCTTTTTTGTAGACGTGGCGTCGATTTCAAGATGGTGAAAGATCTGTTGATTTTGTATTGGCATATAGGGGTGATGATCCAAATCCACAAAACCATGTTAAAAGGCAAACATTTGAACAGAATTTAGAAAAAGAAGGATTACAATTAGAACGGGAAAAAACTCAAAAAATTCACTTTGTTAAAATTCATGCACCATTAGATGTTCTAAAACGTTACTGTGAAATATTAAAAATTAAGATGCCAATTAAAAAGGTTTTTTTTTGCATATTTCGGCTACTTAATAAAATTTACAAAAAAAAATTATTTTATTTTTTAGTTGCGCGAACAAGATATGTGCAATGTACCAGAATTTCAATTAATGCAAGAAATGAAATCATTTTTTGGTCGACCTTTTCAATTTGTTAAATTAGATCCAGAAAAATTTCCACCAAGAGATTATAAATTACATTTTGATTATTCTAGAAATTATGAATATTTGTAAGTTAATAATATATTGTAATTTTATATTTTTGTTTTATATTAAGTACATAATGTATAATCGATGTTTAACCTCTTTAATTGTTCGAAGCCAAAAGAAGATTTTACAAACGCACAGAAACATTTAACTAGCCAGTCATAATAATTGATAGATGAAGGTGTTGATTTTATTAACAAAGATTACTTTCAAATATAAATTAAATTGATTCGGAATGTAAATTATCACAAAGACTAAATAAATTTACAATTAACGAATGTTAAAACTGAATCAAGGGTTTAATAATATGATATTAAAATTTTGTTTATAAAATTTGATAGTTTTCCTAGTTGGCGCTACTGACTAAGTTTCTTTATTGAAATGTTACGTAAAATTATTTTACATTTAAAAATGATTTTAGGTAAACAATAAATTTTGTGATTTGATTTTCAAAATTGTACAGCAGGATTATTTCAAATTTCTTAAGGATTTATTCCCTGAAATACAAACTTTTTATAGAAAGTTAAATCAATATTAAATCCTATAATTACAGAATTATTAGCTTACTTGTTTAATAAATATGTACATAGGTATTATGTTAAAAATAAATTTTTCCTAATTTTTACCTCGATTTTTTTATATTTAGATTTGATTCAGATAACCAAGATTTTTTTGATTCAACTGTAAGAATTGTTGTTATTAATTTTATATTGGAACGACAACGTTTTATAAATGATGATGAATTTGGTATTAATACGGCAAAAACACAAAATCTTATAGGAATAGAAAAACTTTTACAAGATAAAGTTTATGAGAATGCATTTCCTTTACATGATGTAAGCCAATAAAAATGAATTTTAAATAAAATATACATATCTATGTACATTTTTTTTTAAATTATGGTCATTTTTATCTTAAATTTTTAGGGTGATGGTTATACATTTGGAAGTCAACGATATCTTTTGTTAACAGAATGGGCTTCACTTAAAAAATGGATAAAGTAAAAATTTGGATAATCTTATTAGTTTTTAATTATAAAAAATTTAAATCGTCTGTTTTTTTAGGCATCAACCATTAGATTATATTAAAGAATATTTTGGACCGAAAATTGCCTTATATTTTGCTTGGTTAGGTTTTTATACACATATGTTAATTCCAGCTTCTGTAGTCGGTATTATATGTTTTTTATATGGTTTAGCAACATTATCATCTGATAAGCTCAGGTAATTATTTAAAAATAATTATTTAAAAAAGAAAAAAAATTTATAATGTGCACATAGGTACTTATATATAAGTGCTCATATATTTGAAGAAATGTAGGTACATATATGAACTGAGGGAGGGTTATTTCTATAATTTTTATAAATTTTATTGCATGTTAGGAAAAGTTTCTATATTATTTTCACTTATAAATAATTTATAATACTTTCTTATATTTTCAATTACAACTTGAACTTTTCAACTTTTATATTATTCTAAAATTAAATATAATTACTGTGTTGTTTTAAACCAAACTAAGTAATAAACATATTATATAGCAAATTAATAAAAATGCAATCTAAATTCCCTCCTCTTAAATTATATGCCTTATAAAATTACAAAATTTGTAAGTAGAACACTATAACAATATCCATTTTATTTTAGTTCTTAATGTTTTATTTGTAACAAAAAAAAGAATTCTAAATTATAATTGTAGCAAAACCTGTTGAACATTTTATAAATTTTTAGATTATAATTAAAATTAAGAAAAATTTATATACATATTTAATAAAAATTGTAAAAGTTTTAAACTATAACTCTAATTAGAAATTATTTTAATGAAAAGGAAATTTAAAAATGCAGTGATATTCGCATGGTATAACAGTTAAAAATTCAAAATTGATTTTAAGTCATATTAAAATGTTAGAAAAAAACATTTTTGGCATCATAATTGCATCTAATGCGTTAATTTTAATAAACATTATACCAATTGGCATAAATAGTGCCTTTGTCATTTTGTGTATTGAGCTCTAAAAGCTTAAAACTTAAAAATTAATTCTTGTTTTGAAAATCTAAAAAAAATATGCCAAAAACGTCAATTTTGTATTGGCATCAAGAAAATATCACAATTTTTACATCGACTCAATCGCTTCAATGCGAGATCACTTCACTTGTATGCAAAAATTTTTGACATTTTTGAATTTCCGTAAAATACATAATTTTGTTAAAAAATTTTAAATGTTACTTTTTTTTTTTATCTTTTCATTGTTTTTAAATATCTTTAATTTTTTTTATTTTAATTCTTAATTATTGTGTTTTTGTTTTGTTCAGTAATGATATATGTAATGAGAATAATACAATCATTATGTGCCCACAATGTGATGTTAAATGTGACTATTGGTTATTAAAAGAAACCTGTACATCATCAAAATTCAATTATTTATTTGATAATGGTTTAACGTTAATGTTTGCGCTGTTTATGTCCTTTTGGGGTAATTATATAACAATATTTCGTTTTAATTTTTCTTTAGTAATTTTTCTCATATTTTATGTATATATTATTTGTCTGAAAACTTAATTTAATTAATTTTTCTTCTTTTCTATCAAATATAATTTTAGCTGCCTTATATTTAGAATTATGGAAACGATATTCAGCTAGTTTAATACATCGTTGGGGTTTAACAGATTTTTCAGATCAAGTTGAACACCCAAGACCACAATATCTTGCCAAAATACAAAATTCAAAAAATGCAGCTACAAAATTTAATGTTGTTCATAAAGTTTTAGAACCGCATGTGCCTTTTTGGAAAGTTAAATTTCCATCATTCGTAATGAGTTATTCAGTAGCTATATTATTTGTAAGTATTAACTACATATTATTATTTTATAAGTTATAGTTAAAGTGGAACAAAAAATTTATTTTTACGGGAAATCCCGTGTTTATTGAAAAGCTGCTTTAAGCATTTAAATTTAGCAATAGAATTCATTTTAGCATTATGTTAATTGAATGTATAAAATATTTTGCTACAAATTGAGGCTAAATTAATATTTGAGCCAAATTTATTTTCAAATTATGTTCCTTCCATTAAAATTTAAAAAAAAATTAAAAGGAATATTTTTTAAGATCTGTAGGAATTACCTTAATTTAATGATTACTTTAACTTGTAATTAAATTTGATCTTTGTTGCTATTATTAAGTGCTTCTGATCGCTTATAGCAAGAATAATGGTTTAGACACTGTAATTAGCTCTCATTTTTCAAATTACGAAGCAAATGTAAAGCCAATATTAAGCTTAGTTTTTATTTTGTATTTAAACAGAGGTTTAGATTAAAATTTTAATATTTCTTGCAATGTACTGTTAAAATGAACGTCTAAAATTTATTTATGAAGTAATTTAAAATGATGCCATAATTATTTTTGATTTTATTTAAAAATATCTAATTTCCACGGTTTCATTCAAATTTATTTTATTATATTCATCTCTTTATTAACGGTTCCATGATCAAGGCCTTTATGTCCTTTAAGTTTTAACCTTGAGCATACGGTGGGCTAGCATTCGTATCCAAGTAGTAATTCCCTGAAGCACTGTTAAAATTAATTTTTTTTTATTTTAAATTCCGAAAAAAATAAATTCAAATTTATAATACTTACTCCAATGAAACATATAGCCCCATCACTTCTGTTTGACCTTCACAGAGACCTAACTTATAATCCAGGTATGAATCTGCCTCTTCTGCAATAAATTTTTCTAGGTATAAATTTGCAACACTTTCAGCCCAAAATCTCCATGATCTATGATGACTGCAGAAATCTTAATAAAAAAATTAGAAAAAAATTTAAACCAAAAATTTTTTAATTATAAAATATTGACAACATACCATCATCTCCTCCAACTAATAAAGGTCTGGGTACTGGACATCCAGGTTGTACTCCATGTCCGCCATTTGGCCAAAAATCTACAGTTCCAGTCGGAAATGGAGCCCCATAAATACTTTAATTACATAACAAATATTCCTATTTTGATTTTTTTCGTTTATTCGTTTAACAACCGGAAAACTTACCCTGCATCCGTATGGATAACATCAACAAATACGGCATCAGTCGGTCCTAATTGATCAATAACTATTGGCAAAACATAATAACCTGGAAATGCTGGATCTAAAGCAGATATTCTTGATCGAAAAGAAATTTTAAAATTATTTAGAATTTTTTAGACTAAAATTACAATTTACCTTGGTAATATAAGTGAACCACTACTTTGTTCAATTATTTCACGTCCTATATAACCTGACAATTGTCCTCCTAAAGAATGGCCGACTAAATGAAAGCTTGATAAAGGTAACCCGCTTGTAAAAAGATTTAACAATGCTTCTCCAACATAAGGAGCCAACTAAAATTTTGGAAAAAAAATTCTTTTATAAATAAGATGATAATGAAAACTTTCTAAATTTTTTACATAATTTTTAAACTTACATAGGGTACAACTTGAAACGCTTTAACATAATCTGTTATAATTGTTTCTGCAACATATATACTATAGTCTAAACAAACTAAATTGTGATTTGGTTGATAACTGTATGCATTTCTCATAGCTTGTATACTTTCCCTATTTTGATTTTCATTATAACCATGAACGTAGAATGTTGTGATTTTATTAATATCAAAAACTGGATGACTTAAAAGTTGATTTGCATCCTTTAATTGATATGATGTGTTTTGTAAGTTTCCTTCACTATACATTTGTTAAAAAAAATTAGTAAATACAGGGAAAATAATTATTATTCGTCTATAGTATAAAAACGATTTTACCCGTAATAAAAGTATACTCGTACATTTGTCCAAGGATCAGGATATTGCGTACCAATAATTGAATTGACTACGGGAAGAAGTGTCGGATTTATAAGTGCTGCTTGAATAGTCTGCCCTGTACAAATATTAAGATTTTTTAATATATAAATTTTATTAATAAATTTAAATTTAAATGTATGGCTTAATGATTTTCTATTTTCTAAACCTTCTTCTCATGATCACGCTTAATACGTTAATTTAAGTGAATGTAAATCCATTGAGGTTAATGGATTTATAAATGTAATAAAATTCATTTTAATAGAAAAATGAACTTAAATTAAATAAAAAAAATAAATAATTACAATTAAAAATTATGAAGAAAACTGTCGAAATAGTTGTCGCCTTCATTTTCACCTCTTAACACAAATAATTCCAACAGTAAAATAATTAAATTTACTAAATCGTCTAACTTTTATACAAAACTTAATTTGATGCCATTTTTTTAACACAATCATAAAAATAAGTTTTATATATGAAATTCATAATTTCGTTTTTCGCTCATAATACCAAGAATTGCTGTTATATCGTAAACTTGATTTAGTTTTATATTTGTATAAAACCAAATAAATTTTATACTCTAACACTGGTTTTGAGGCATTGGATTTATATTAATAATAGTTTAAATACGAGGTTCTCTTACAATGTATGTATAAAAAGAATATAAATCTCGCATTAAATACAAAAATTTTACTCAATAAGTTCATAGTGAAAGATGGTTTGTGAATTTTAATTATTTGCGAGCCATTACAAACTTCCAACCCTCTGCTTCATAAATTGGCATATTTCTTTTTAACAATTTATGTTGAGAACTTGTGTATTTAATTTCTCCTTTTTATTTCTTCTATTTAAACTACAAAAAAGATAAATAGATTCAAATAATTGTCTTATTAGTTATTAGTTAAATTTTGGGAGAAAATTTAGTGCAATAGTTTTAAAAAATTTATATATATACATATATTAACCTAAGGATTGACTTTTTTTCCCCGATTAATTAAGGAACATTGGTTTGTATTTTGCGATAAAAGGCTGTTACCATTTTCCATTTACAAATTTATTTTGTCAAACAGAAAAAAAATCGAAAATTGGCACTTTGCAAACTTTGAGAGACTATAACTCGGGAAATAATTACTACGAAAATTAACGAATAATCTTTTTAAGATAAGGGTCTCATTTGGGTGAGCGATTCGGAGACTTGTTTGTATTTTTTTTTTTAAGGAGAGAAGAAATAACTCCTGAAAAACTTGTTTAGAACTTTGGGAAGAAATAACTCCTGAAATGTTTGTATTTTCATGACTTTGCGAATCTATAGTTTGGTATGGGGAGGAGAGTAATTACACTTTAAAATTATTATTTGATTATTTAAAATTGTTTTGAATGTACTACATTTTGAAAATAGTAAATATTTCACTTTTACCTTGTTTGTCGCAATTAAGTGCATGCTATATTAAAAAAAAAACATTTTATTCACAAATTTTATTATTTTCTGAGGAAACTTCTGAACTTATGAATTGGGTTAATACAATTCTTATCCTAATATGCCAGGATCAACTACAATTATATAAACAAAAATTAGTGTTAGCATTAGAAACAAATACAATAGTTTGATATATACGATAAAATTTATTTGTTCGATGGCATACTAACAGCTTGATCATTTATATCGCATTCAGGCTGGCAAAATAATTAATGTTAAATAAACATTCATAAATGTTTATTTTTTTCTTCTATTATTATTTATTTTAAATTTTGGCTCATATAATATTTAATTAAATAATTATTATAAATTAAATGCAGATTATTTTACTAAGTGCTTCACAATACTATCAGGATAATATACTAATATTAAGAACGGGGTTTTAAAAGAGTTCAATACTGCTCTTCATCTTATACGAGTAATTGAGCAGCATGAAATCAAAAATTAAAAGAGTCCACATTTTAAAATTTTTGAGATTGATGTGCCATCTAATAATTTTGTTTGAGAATTATATGAAATACTTTATCATATAAAAGCAAAAATAATGCAAAGACGAATTTATCATGTTTATAGTAAAATTTAAGAATTGCTCAAATCTTCAAATTTTAAAACCACAAAAAATTATTAAGAAAATTCATTAGTTAAAAAAAGTTTATTTCTTTTCAATCTTACAGAAAAGCGTAATTTTACACTTATCTATTTCTTTTTATTATGTTAGCTTTCGCGCAAAGAACATTTTTTTTGAAATTCAGAAAAACATAGTGAGGAGTAGCTGCTTTTTCGTTTTTTCTGAAAATTAACGAAAGTGGCCACTTTTTAAATTCACCGAATATCCAAAACTAGTTTATGTAGTGGCAACTCGTATAAACCAGTCCTTTGAAAAATTGAAAGTCTTTTCAAAATTTTTTACAAACCTTCCTAAAATTTACCCATAGGATTAATAAAAGTGATAATCAAAAAAATTTATTATCAATAATTCTCCTTAATGCGTACCTACTGTTTTTATTATAAATTTTATATCTATTATACTTAAAAATTTTGTGCATATTTATTTTCAAATATTATGAAAAATACTTTTACAGTCAGTTGTTCAAATATTATAGTTCGCGAAATTGTTTACCTATTTATGTGACATAACAATGCTTCAATTCAAATCAAACCAAATTAATTTTTAAAACTATTTAGAAAACATAATAAAAACAATATTTAGCATTGAAGGTTCAAGGTTTATACTCCTTAACAACCAAATTAAATATTTTTTATTTATAATATAACACTTAAAGAATTATAAAATTAGAGTATTTTTTAAATAAGAGTATGTTATAATTATAATATATAAAATGAAAATAGATTTACCTTTAACAAATTAAATGGCGGGAATTAAAAAATGCAACTAATTCATCTGTCGCCAATAGAACAGATGATCTAGATATAATGTGACCGATATCAAACCCCATAGAGTCAAAAATTTTGAAGCTTCTAAACATTGTAATGAACAATTCATTTCATTAGAGAATGTTTTTCTACATTTTCACCCAAAAAATATGCAATAAGTGTGACATATCAATCTAATATTAAGAGAACATTGTAAGTAAATACAACGTCATCCCTCATAAAACAGAAGTGTTTTCCTTCGGGAATGTACTACTTTAAGTAAAAAATAGAATTAGAGAGATTTTCCGAGGTGAAATGTCAAAATTTCTTATAGAATACACATAATTATAAATGCGGTTGCCTAGAATCAAACGTAATTACCGCCTCGAATTTATCCGCTGCAGATAAAGTAGCCGTAATTCCTATTTTACTAGCGATGTTTTTTATACTCGTATCATCTGTTTTTGGTGGTTTATAAACCTCAGTAATTACGAAAGGTTTCAAATTGTATGTTTTAGGTGATACAATAAACAACTAAACCAGAACCTAATAATAAATCATTCAACAATATTTTAATTATTTAAAAAAAAAAAAGTAATTATATTGAACAAATTATCTTATTGCATTTCTTTTTTTTTTAATTTCAGATTTGTTTATCAGTTTGTGCAATATTTTCATTAATAGTTTATCGTATGTCACAACGTACAGCACATAATTTATATGGTAATCGTGATACAATGACATATAAAATAATGGTATTACCATTAACTGCCGGTATTATTGATTTAATTGTAATAACAATATTAGATCAAGTATACGGTTATTTAGCTGTATTTTTAACTGATATTGAATATCGTCGTACACATACTGAATATAATGAAAGTCTGACTATTAAAATGTACCTATTTCAATTTATTAATTATTATTCATCGTTATTTTATATCGTATTTTTAAAAGGTAAATTTGTTGGTTATCCAGCTAAATATAATAGAATATTTTCATTTCGACAAGAGGAATGTAATCCTGGCGGTTGTTTAATGGAATTATGTCTTCAATTATGTATTATAATGATGGGTAAACAAATTGTAAATGCATTAATTGAAATGCTATTACCATATTTAATAAAAACATATAGTAAATTAAGAATACGTTTTGGTTTATCAACTGGTGACAGTAAAGAAAAATTAATATCATGTAATCAATGGACTGATGATTATCATTTGCTTAAATGGACAAATACATCATTATTTAGTGAATATTTAGAAATGAGTAAGTTATATTTAAAATTTTAATTTATTATTAAAATTCTTAAATGTTTTTCTCTTAAATTTTAGTTTTGCAGTATGGCTTTATTACAATTTTTGTTGTTGCGTTTCCATTAGCACCAGTATTTGCCTTATTAAATAATATTGTTGAAATGAGGTTAGATGCTTTAAAATTATTAAAATTCTATCAAAGACCAATTGCACAAAGAATTAAAGATATTGGAGTTTGGTATAATATAATGTCAATTGTTAGCAGGATAGCTGTAGGAACAAGTGTATGTACAATTAAAAATATTTACTCACCATATCCTTATTTATATTTCATAAATAACTCAAAAACTCTTTGACTCAAAAATTCACTTTTTAGGCATTTATAATAGCATTCTCATCCAATTTTATACCAAAATTAGTTTATAAATATACAGTTAATTCGGAGCATAATTATGATGGTTATCTTAATTTCACATTAGCTTATTTCGATACAAGAGACTTTCAGGTAAATAATTTATTGTATAATATAATTAACTATTTAATTTAAAAAATAATAATTTTTTTTATTTTTAATAATTTAGGAGGGAACAGCGCCAATGCAGAGTCATTTCCAAAACGTTAGTGAATGTCGTTATCCTGAATTTCGTAATCCATATAATATAGCCAATGAGGAAGAAAAATATAAGAGACCATTAATATATTGGAGGATATTCACAGCTCGGCTAGCTTTTATTGTAATTTTCCAGGTAAAAGCAAGTCGTTACTTACTAAAACTGAAGTTATTTATTTAACTGACATAAACAAGCTGAAGCTGAAACAGTAAAAAATTAATACTTATCTTTTCTTATTTTTTAGAATATTGTGGGCATGGTTCAATCATTAGTTGCATGGACAATACCTGATGTACCCGGTAAATTAAGAAATCGTATTAAACGTGAAGAATATTTAACAAGAGAATTAATTATTGAACATGAAAAACGCGAAGCAATCCGAAAAGAAATTAATAAAGATAATAATGATGAAAACAATGATAATGGTGGTGATAGTATATCAAATCAAAGACCATTACAAACATCTGAATCTACATTTAAAGATAATACTAGTAAAGTAAATGAAATTGATGAAAAATCAATAAATAAACATCAATCACAATTGCCACAACCATCGAATAATTCATCAACATCAACAACAACAACTCTTGTTCCAACAATTCAAACACCAGTCGATGATGCAAATGTAGTAGATTCAAATTCAAGCTCAAATTTATTGGATACCGAATCGGATATGATTGATACACCATTATATGCTCAACCTTTAACACATCCTCCAGAAATGACTGAATCTCTTAATTATCCTAGAAGACGTTTACAACCTGAATATTATTTGGATAGAACAACACCAGTTTGAGATTTACTTAAAAAACATCATTTGTACATTTTATATGAATAGGATCATAGGATTAAATAAAAACAAAAATTATTGTAAAATATGTAATTATTTATAAAAATTGTAAAAATCGAAATTTTACATACAACTTTGTATATAATATTATGACATACTTACAATTTAAGTTTATATAGGGAAAATAAACTCTCTTTTAGTTTAAGCTTTTATGTTTTATAATGTTTTATAATGAAAATAACAAAAAAAAAAAACAAATCCGTTTAGATTTTTGATAAAAAATTAATATTAGAATTATTATTAACATACATATAATTATATTTTATTATTTATTATAAAAATATTTTATATAAAAGAGTTTAATATTCTTGAACGAGGAATTCTTTATAAAATTTTCATATTCAAAGAATAATTTTTTTGGCAACTAATTCTTTTATTTTTAACTTATAATTTACCTTTTATACATTTTTCTATTATTTAAAATATCTTTAAAAGGAATATTTTATAAAAGTTTCATAGAAAAAAAATCAAAATTTTCATTGTATAAGATTTACAAATTCAAATAGTTTGCAATTTAATTCATTTTATTTTGAGCAAATGCAAAAGCAAATACAGTTTAAAATTTTAATGTTAAAAGTATTATTATAAAATATTATTGTGTTACTTAAAAAAGTAATTTATTATTTACATTATTTACATGAAATTATAATTAATGAAATTTATTATTTTATTCTGCTATAATTCATTTCGTATTATAAATTTAAATAAAAACTCTTAAAAATTTTGTACAATAAACTTTTCAAAGATATTCAAAATTATAAGAGCAAAATAAGCATCAATAAAATTTGTAGATTTATTTAAAAAAATTTTATTATTTGATTTTTTATAATTTTTCATATTAGTACATATTAAGATTTATTTTTTTTATTTTTATGTACTTAAACTTGTTTAAAACATTTTTAATTCGTTACTTAGTTAAGCAAGTTTAGGTAGATTTGGAAAAAATTATTTTATATACAAAATATATTTACAATAAATTGTAGGTTACTGGGAACAACCATATTAAATGGACAGAAAAAATTAACTTAAACAACTTTTATAAATTTATGTAATATTACAAATAGAAACATATATTAATATATTTGTATATGTTTACAACTATTATATTATATAAAAACAGAAAAATTATTTAAAGTATTAATTTAAAAAAAAGGAACTTGTTTTAATTGAAATGAAAGTAGTTTTTTTTATTATTCTTCTAAGAAAAAACTTATCCATCCAGCAAAAAATTTAATAAGCTCTAATATTCTTAAGAATAAAATTCGTATAAGTAAAAATAATAGCTATTTTTCTATTTTAATATATGATTAACAAAATCCAGAATGAAGTTGCTATTTTAATTTGTGCACTCTATAGGAAAAATTACGTGCAACATATTTATGTATATGTATCCTATGGCAAAATATAAAAGCCTTAAATTTTAAAATTTTAAAGCCTTACCTGTTAATAAGACGATTTTATTCGGTAATTAATTATCTGACAAAATAAAAAATTGTAACAAATTTATTAAGAGCGATAAAAAAAAAATTTTATTAAAATTTTTAAAATAGACATTTTATATTAAATAATATATCAAAAAGCATATAAATTAATAAATCTAAAACTAAAATTAAACATTAACATATAAAACAATAGCAGCAATCAGAAAATATTATATTCATTTTTTTGTTTTTTTAAATAGATTTTTTACATTTAAATATTAGTATCTAACAATAATTAACAACAAATCTGAAATTTTATAATAAATGTAAATATTTTTATTTAAATAATAAAATTATGAAAACTCTTGTTCCCAGAAGTTTGAATATATACCAGAAAAAGTTGCTCAATTGATTAAAAAAAATTATTTAATGTTAAAAATAAAAAAGATAAAAACTAATAAAAAATTAAAAATAAAACTGTTAAAATTATTATAAGTAAGTAAAAAACACTTATCAAACGTTATGTACATAAAAAATATGTAAAAAATTTGTTAATGAAATTTTTACCTACATACGAGTATAAAAAAATTAATTATATTTTTTTAATGTATCATAAGTTATATACATATATACGTATTCTATTGTACATATATGAACAGAACGTTGGCATTTATATACATAATTTAAATATTTTTAAATTTTAATAAATATATACGTATAAATTTTTTTAATTTTTTTTTTACTTTTAGGTTTTTTCATATGTTACTATAATATTTAAAACAAATGTTTACACATATAATTTAAAGAAAATAATAAAAACAAAAATAAAAGCTACCTGTAGGGCACATAAAATAGTAACTAATATTTAAAAATAATTAAATTTTTTAAACTGAAATACCAACATATTATGCCTATAATAACAAAAATCAATTGCTACGTATACATGAGGGCATTATTATTTAAATTATGTTCTAAATAATGAATAATTTGTTTTCATATACCTAAAAATAGGCTTTATAAAAATTATAAAAATTAATTTTTACATTTAATGTAAAAGCATAATTTCAATTAATTATATTAATAATATAGCAGAACAGTTTCCAATTTACTTCATTATTGACTATACATAAGAAAATAAATAAATTAATTAAATAATTAAATTAAAATATTAACAATAGACTACAAAAATTCACAAGTAAACCTATAAAAGTTTACCAAATTTGGAATTTTGGGTAAATTCAAACCGATAACAAAATCTATATTGTGTCAGAAAAACTAGCTGAACACTATCAAATTGTTAAAACAGAATTAAAACAGTACTATAAATATTTAATTACCTATTTTAAATTTTTTTTCAAATCGCCATCAAACAGAAAAACCTGATTTTGTGGGTATCAATTAGATTTTGACGAATTTTTACAGTTGAAAAATTCAAGGGAAAAATTGTTTTGATTGAATTGAATCAAGTTGAATTTCGACTAAATATAAATTGTATACTTGACTTCTTAAACGACTAATTTAAATAAATTTCTTACTTAACGAATTTTATTAGGCAGGGAAAGTGCAGCACAAATCTAATTTTATATTATTTTTTAAATTTTACTTTCATAAATTGCTTTAACCATTTTGAAAAAATATTTTGTAGTAAAAAAGTTAGAACATAAACAATTTTAAGTATGTTTTTTTAGCCATATAATTTTATTTTGCAAAAAAAATTACTGACCAGATTTAAAATAAAAATTTATTTATCTTTTACATATAAAATACCTCATTAATATTTCAAACTTCATGTATACGTAGTAAATTTCAAACAGTGGACTCAATCTTTATACAATCAATAAAAATATAAAACAAAATAAGCAAAATCAAATAATTAAAAATTTTATTCAAAAAAAAAAAAAAAAAAAAAATAATCAGAATTAAATTTTTTAACATTATTATAATTTATTTTTTCTATTAAGCAAAAAATTTGAAAAAATAAATAAAAGATTATAAAAATAACATAATTAAATGTTTATCTTAAAAATAAATTTAAAAATTCAATTTAAAAAAAAAAAACAAAAAATTTAAGCCAAATTAATTAAAATGTCAGTAAATAATGAATTAAAAAAAAATTAAATAACTAAATTGTAATTAAAAAAAGTTAAAACGTAGAATTTATATTTGCTCAAATTTGTACCTTAACAAAACAAAATTTTAAAGTAAAATAGAACTTTCAAATAGTATGTTACTTCTTAAGAATAAGTAATTTTTTTTTTCAATTTTATTAAAGTTGTGCTAAGTAAGCATCTGCTATCAGTAAAAGAATTTTTCTTTTTTCTAAAAACTTTTAGAGTCTAAGAATCTGTTCTAATCAAAGAGAAAATTGTGTTCACAGGATATTTAATTATATATAATATAATTATAGATAATTTAAAGACTCCTTTAGAAGCCTGCATAATAATCTTAAACTTTTTACAAAAGAGTAACAGTTTAAGGTGGAATTGCTGTTGCACGGATGATAGCCGTTTCGAAGTTTTTCTTCCAAAAAAAATTTCCAATTGTTCAAATATAATTTTTATAGTCTTTATGTGTATTTAAATACATTTTCATAAATTTGTGCTTAAAATTTCATTTCAAAAATTACTTCGAAAATGAAAAGGCATGCAGCTAATAAAAATACACATAAGGACTACGGCGACATAATAACAGAACGACATAATAAAAGAACGGCGACATAATAAACTTCTAGTTTGTTACAAAAAAATGAAATTAATAAAAATTATAAAATTAATTAAAATTATATGAGTTATCATTTGGTCAAATTTTAACAATAACTTCTGTAAAATATTATTTTACCGAAAAAGTTATTTGAATTTTCAATTTAAATTGCATTTTCTTATTAAAAAAATGAAAATATTTTAATTCCAACGAAATAAAATTTTTTGTGTCTAATTTAATTCTTTGGATATTTTTTTTTCGAAAATTCTACTGGTAACTTAGTAAGTAACAATAGTAATTATCCAAATTCAAAATAGATTTAAAATAAAATGAAATTAATAAAAAATAAAAAATTTTTAAAGAAAATTTTACCATATTTTTATAATTATAATTGAAAATTAATTGTTACGCTTTTTTTTTTTAATCTGAGTTTATTTCTAAAGTAATTTAAATAAGTTCTATATAAATTCTTAAACAAGAATTAGTATATTCGTACATTTTGTATCAAATTTTCAATTTATTCTTCTCGTTTTGATAGTTTTGTATAAATTCTAATAAAATTACAATAAATGTGAATATTTCAAATAATTTTAAAATTCACTTGAGTCAATTTACTATTTCGGAGTAAATTGTGCGTAAATTGTGTAAAAGTGTTGTACCTACAGTAATTTATAAAAAGTAAATTTCCACAATATAAAATTTTAAAATTCAATTTAAATTAATTTTTAATAACAGTTTTTAATTTTTAATAATTTAATTATAATCATAAATGTGGTAAATATTTTAAATTTTACACATAATAAGCAGAATACTAATTAGCCAAATTTAAAAAAAAAAGTTATAATAGAATCAAATAAATAAAAAAAATTTTTTTTTTTTAAAATTTTAAAGAATAAAATTTGTAAGTTATTTTATTCAATAATAACGTAAATTTATCAAAAAATAAAAATTGTTTTTTATTTTTCTTTATATTGTTTGTATTTATATTTATTTTTCTTTATATTCCATCAAGACCGGGAGGGTTGGAACTTCCGACATTGGGCCGTCTAGATTGGTGAATTAACTCACTGGACACTGTTTCTCGATGGCCTATTTGAAGAAAATGAATCGTCCATTTGAAGGCGTCCTTTCTAGGAGAAGACGAGACAATGAAGCTTCTGTTATACCAGTGCGAGACGGTAACATGGTTGTGATTAACATATTTCGGAAGAGAATTCGTTACCCTGCCGAAAATCTCACGCCTTGACTATCACGCTGTGATGCAGTTTTACAAAAAATCCTAAGTATAGCCTAAATATAGAAATGGGGCGAAAAGAGCCTGTCCAACTGGCAAAAAAAACAAAATCTATTATATATATACATAGCTAAATGGTATTGTTGTATATTTCATGTATGAAAGAGTTGTATATGAAAAGACAAGGTATTTTTTTTTTTAATTTTAGATTTATTTTAATTTTACAAAATCGTCAATTTTTTCATGAAATATTTTTAAACAGGCATTCATTAATTTTAGAAAACTCAGAATCCTTTATTTTTACACACATTTCGTTACCATTAACTTCGAGCGTAGGGCTGATTAGGATTTGTTTTTAAGTAATAGTCCCCAGTGGAGCTATGTTTAAAAAAAATTGTTTTCACTTTAATTAAAAAAATTTAAAAAAAAACTATTTACTCTAGTGAAACATGTAATCCCATTATTGCAGTTTCATCTTCATAAAAACCGAGTAAATAACTAGTATATGAATCTGCTTTATTCGCTATAAATTTTTGTTGATATAAATTTGCAACACTTTCAGCCCAAAATCTCCAAGATCTCCAATGACTGCAACAATCTTAAACAAGTACAAGAAAAAAATAATTTGTTTAAATTTATTTAAATTTTTTAAATAATAAGTTGAACAATATAAAATAAGCTTTATAAATAAATAAAAATAAACAAAAACCATTATCATCTCCAGTAAATAAATGTCTAGGAACTGGACATCCTGATTGTACTGAATAACCACCATTCGGCCAAAAATCTACAGTACCAGTAGAATATGGAGCTCCCAAAAGACTATAAAATTGCAAATAAGCATTATATTATAATGTCAATAAAATTTGTAATATAAATTTACCCCGCATCCGTATGAATAACATCAACAAATACAGCATCACTTGGACCTAAATGATCAAAAATAATATCTATCGGTAAATCATAATAGCCTGGATTTGCTGGATCTAATCCAGATATTCTTAAATTGAATTTAAATTATTAAAATTATAAAAAATAAAAATGTATTATAATTTACCTTGGTAATATAAGTGAACCACCACTTTGTTGAATTATTTCACGTCCTATATAACCTGATAATTGACTACCTAAAGAGTGACCAACTAAATGAAAATCTTGTAAAGGCAAACCAGCATTAAAAAGATTTAATAAAGCTTCCGTAATATAGGGCGCCAGCTAAAATTTTTAAAAAAAATTTTCAAATATCATAAAAGTTTTAAATGATTTTTATAATAATTAATATTATTAGAAATTTAATTATTTGCATACATCGATTTATCTTTAAAACAAGAATATGTTTTCCATAACATTTAAAATTAAAAATGACTTACAAAATTAAATATTTTTCAACTTACATAAGGAACAGCCTGATATGCTGAAATATAATCAATTGATTTTATATTTGCTTCAACATACAAACTATAGTCTAAAGCTAAGAAATTATAATTTGGAAGATAGCTATAAGAATTTTTCACAACTTGGATACTTTCACTAGCTTGACTTTCTGTATAACCATGTACATATAATGTTGTTAATTTATTAATATCAAAAACTGGATGATTTAAAAGTTGATTTGCATCCTTTAATTGATATGATGTATTTTGTAAATTTCCATCACTATTTATTCAAATAAAATAATATTATTCTTAAATTATATTGAAAATACCCTAAAAAAAAACATAATATGTAGATACATTTGAAAATATTTACCCATAATAGAAATATATTCGTACATTATTCCATGGATCAGGATATTGAGGGCTTATAATTACTGGAAGTGTTACAGCTATCGAACCAAGAAGTCCACTTTCGGTTGTTTTACCTTATAACAGTTTTAAAAATTATTAACAGTTCTTATTAATATAATATTATAAATACGTTGCATTTTATGTATTTTTTGTGGTCACTGGAATCCACAGATTCTGCCGATATATGATAATAGGTTGTAGCAAAAATATTTTTGGAGATATTTGAAAAAATCTTTTGCAAAACTTTAAATGCGTTTTCTGGGTAAACAAGAAGAGATAGAGCGATTCTACGTGTTTTTTGTGATCACTGGGAATGCACAGATTCTGCCGATATATAATAATAGGTTGTAGCAAAAATATTTTTGGAGATATTTGAAAAAATCTTTTGCAAAACTTTAAACGCGTTTTCTGGCTAAACTAGAAGAGATAGAGCGATTCTCCGTGTTTTTTGTGATCACTCGGAATGCACAGATTCTGCCGATATATGATAATAGGTTGTAGCAAAAATATTTTTGGAGATATTTGAAAAAATCTTTTGCAAAACTTTAAACGCGTTTTCTGGCTAAACTAGAAGAGATAGAGCGATTCTACGTGTTTTTTGTGATCACTGGGAATGCACAGATTCTGCCGATATATGATAATAGGTTGTAGCATTAATATTTTTGGAGATATTTGAAAAAATCTTTTGCAAAACTTTAAATGCGTTTTCTGGCTAAACTAGAAGAGATAGAGCGATTCTACGTGTTTTTTGTGATCACTGGGAATGCACAGATTCTGCCGATATATACTAATAAGTTGTAGCAAAAATATTTTTAGAGATATTTAAAAAATCTTTTGCAAAACTTTAAATGCGTTTTCTGGCTAAACTAGAAGAGATAGAGCGATTCTACGTATTTTTTTGTGATCATTGGGAATGCACAGATTCTGCCGATATATGATAATAGGTTGTAGCAAAAATATTTTTGGAGATATTTGAAAAAATCTTTTCCAAAACTTTAAATGCGTTTTCTGGCTAAACTAGAAGAGATAGAGCGATTCTACGTGTTTTTTGTGATCACTAGGAATGCACAGATTCTGCCGATATATGATAATAGGTTGTAGCAAAAATATTTTTGGAGATATTTGAAAAAATCTTTTGCAAAACTTTAAACGCGTTTTCTGGCTAAACTAGAAGAGATAGAGCGATTCTACGTATTTTTTGTGATCACTGGGAATGCACAGATTCTGCCGATATATGATAATAGGTTGTAGCAAAGATATTTTTGGAGATATTTGAAAAAATCTTTTGCAAAACTTTAAATGCGTTTTCTGGGTAAACAAGAAGAGATAGAGCGATTCTACGTGTTTTTTGTGATCACTGGGAATGCACAGATTCTGCCGATATATAATAATAGGTTGTAGCAAAAATATTTTTGGAGATATTTGAAAAAATCTTTTGCAAAACTTTAAATGCGTTTTCTGGCTAAACTAGAAGAGATAGAGCGATTCTCCGTGTTTTTTGTGATCACTCGGAATGCACAGATTCTGCCGATATATGATAATAGGTTGTAGCAAAAATATTTTTGGAGATATTTGAAAAAATCTTTTGCAAAACTTTAAACGCGTTTTCTGGCTAAACTAGAAGAGATAGAGCGATTCTACGTGTTTTTTGTGATCACTGGGAATGCACAGATTCTGCCGATATATGATAATAGGTTGTAGCATTAATACTTTTGGAGATATTTGAAAAAATCTTTTGCAAAACTTTAAATGCGTTTTCTGGCTAAACTAGAAGAGACAGAGCGATTCCACGTGTATTTTGTGATCACTGGGAATGCACAGATTCTGCCGATATATACTAATAAGTTGTAGCAAAAATATTTTTGGAGATATTTAAAAAATCTTTTGCAAAACTTTAAATGCGTTTTCTGGCTAAACTAGAAGAGATAGAGCGATTCTACGTATTTTTTGTGATCATTGGGAATGCACAGATTCTGCCGATATATGATAATAGGTTGTAGCAAAAATATTTTTGGAGATATTTGAAAAAATCTTTTCCAAAACTTTAAATGCGTTTTCTGGCTAAACTAGAAGAGATAGAGCGATTCTACGTGTTTTTTGTGATCACTGGGAATGCACAGATTCTGCCGATATATGATAATAGGTTGTAGCAAAAATATTTTTGGAGATATTTGAAAAAATCTTTTGTAAAACTTTAAACGCGTTTTCTGGCTAAACTAGAAGAGATAGAGCGATTCTACGTATTTTTTGTGATCACTGGGAATGCACAGATTCTGCCGATATATGATAATAGGTTGTAGCAAAGATATTTTTGGAGATATTTGAAAAAATCTTTTGCAAAACTTTAAATACGTTTTCTGGCTAAACTAGAAGAGATAGAGCGATTCTACGTGTTTTTTGTGATCACTGGGAATGCACAGATTCTGCCGATATATGATAATAGGTTGTAGCAAAAATATTTTTGGAGATATTTGAAAAAATCTTTTGCAAAACTTTAAATGCGTTTTCTAACTAAACTAGAAGAGATAGAGCGATTCTACGTGTTTTTTGTGATCACTGGGAATGCACAGATTCTGCCGATATATGATAATAGGTTGTAGCAAAAATATTTTTGGAGATATTTGAAAAAATCTTTTGCAAAACTTTAAACGCGTTTTCTGGCTAAACTATAAGAGATAGAGCGAATCTATGTAATCTTTGTGATCACTGTGAATGCACAGATTCTGCCGATATATGATAATAGGTTGTAGCAAAAATATTTTTGGAGATTCTGCCGATATATGATAATAGGTTGTAGCAAAAATATTTTTGGAGATATTTGAAAAAATCTTTTGCAAAACTTTAAATGCGTTTTCTGGCTAAACTAGAAGAGATAGAGCGATTCTACGTGTTTTTTTGTGATCACTGGGAATGCACAGATTCTGCCGATGTATGATAATAGGTTGTAGCAAAAATATGTTTGGAGATATTTGAAAAAATCTTTTGCAAAACTTTAAACGCGTTTTCTGGCTAAACTAGAAGAGATAGAGCGATTCTACGTGTTTTTTGTGATCACTGGGAATGCACAGATTCTGCCGATATATGATAATAGGTTGTAGCATTAATATTTTTGGAGATATTTGAAAAAATCTTTTCCAAAACTTTAAATGCGTTTTCTGGCTAAACTAGAAGAGATAGAGCGATTCTACGTGTTTTTTGTGATCACTGGGTATGCACAGATTCTGCCGATATACGATAATAGGTTGTAGCAAAAATATTTTTGGAGATATTTGAAAAAATCTTTTGCAAAACTTTAAACGCGTTTTCTGGCTAAACTAGAAGAGATAGAGCGATTCTACGTGTTTTTTGTGATCACTGGGAATGCACAGATTCTGTCGATATATGATAATAGGTTGTAGCATTAATATTTTTGGAGATATTTGAAAAAATCTTTTGCAAAACTTTAAATGCGTTTTCTGGCTAAACTAGAAGAGATAGAGCGAAGAGATAGACGTGTTTTTTGTGATCACTGGGAATGCACAGATTCTGCCGATATATGATAATAGGTTGTAGCAAAAATATTTTTGGAGATATTTGAAAAAATCTTTTGCAAAACTTTAAACGCGTTTCCTGGCTAAACTGGAAGAGATAGAGCGATTCTACGTGTTTTTTGTGATCACTGGGAATGCACAGATTCTGCCGATATATGATAATAGGTTGTAGCAAAAATATTTTTGGAGATATTTGAAAAAATCTTTTGCAAAACTTTAAACGCGTTTCCTGGCTAAACTGGAAGAGATAGAGCGATTCTACGTGTTTTTTGTGATCACTGGGAATGCACAGATTCTGCCGATATATGATAATAGGTTGCAGCAAAAATATTTTTGGAGATATTTGAAAAAATCTTTTGCAAAACTTTAAACGCGTTTTCTGGCTAAACTAGAAGAGATAGAGCGATTCTACATGTTTTTTGTGATCACTGGGAATGCACAGACTCTGCCGATATATGATAATAGGTTGTAGCATTAATATTTTTGGAGATATTTGAAAAAATCTTTTGCAAAACTTTAAATGCGTTTTCTGGCTAAACTAGAAGAGATAGAGCGATTCTACGTGTTTTTTGTGATCACTGGGAATGCACAGATTCTGCCGATATACGATAATAGGTTGTAGCAAAAATGTTTTTGGAGATATTTGAAAAAATCTTTTGCAAAACTTTAAATGCGTTTTCTGGCTAAACTAGAAGAGATAGAGCGAAGAGATAGACGTGTTTTTTGTGATCACTGGGAATGCACAGATTCTGCCGATATATGATAATAGGTTGTAGCAAAAATATTTTTGGAGATATTTGAAAAAATCTTTTGCAAAACTTTAAATGCGTTTTCTGGCTAAACTAGAAGAGATAGAGCGAAGAGATAGACGTGTTTTTTGTGATCACTGGGAATGCACAGATTCTGCCGATATATGATAATAGGTTGTAGCAAAAATATTTTTGGAGATATTTGAAAAAATCTTTTGCAAAACTTTAAACGCGTTTCCTGGCTAAACTAGAAGAGATAGAGCGATTCTACATGTTTTTTGTGATCACTGGGAATGCACAGACTCTGCCGATATATGATAATAGGTTGTAGCATTAATATTTTTGGAGATATTTGAAAAAATCTTTTGCAAAACTTTAAATGCGTTTTCTGGCTAAACTAGAAGAGATAGAGCGAAGAGATAGACGTGTTTTTTGTGATCACTGGGAATGCACAGATTCTGCCGATATATGATAATAGGTTGTAGCAAAAATATTTTTGGAGATATTTGAAAAAATCTTTTGCAAAACTTTAAACGCGTTTCCTGGCTAAACTGGAAGAGATAGAGCGATTCTGCGTGTTTTTTGTGATCACTGGGAATGCACAGATTCTGCCGATATATGATAATAGGTTGTAGCAAAAATATGTTTGGAGATATTTGAAAAAATCTTTTGCAAAACTTTAAATACGTTTTCTGGCTAAACTGGAAGAGATAGAGCGATTCTACGTATTTTTTGTGATCACTGGGAATGCACAGATTCTGCCGATATATGATAATAGGTTGCAGCAAAAATATT